CTAAGGAAACAAAGGTGCGGAAAAAAAATAGAAAATTTTATTTTGTAATCAGTGATAGACGGTTGGGACAAACTGAGTGAGGTGGTGGTGGAGGCCAAAACCGTCAGCAGTTTCAAAGTGTTATACGACACAGATTCAAGTTCTTATTTACTGTCGTAGAAAGAACAGTTCTTATTTACTGTCGTAGAAAGAACAGTTCTTATTTACTGTCGTAGAAAGAACAGTTCTTATTTACGAAGTGGTAGAGTGAACAGTTCTTATTTACAGAGTGGTGGAATAAACAGTTCTTATTTACAGAGTGGTGGAATGAACAAGTGAGGTGGTGGTGGCAGCCAAAACCTTCAGTAGTGTGAAGCTTCACTTGACAAAGAATACAGGGAACACGGAACACCACTCAGGTACCTATCATACATTAATCCTGTAATCCTGTACTTGGGTAATTACAACATCCCCCCCCCCAACACACACACAAAGACCATTTAATTAAACAACGAACTAGAACCTACAAGAGAATAGATCATGCGTAAATATCCACTTAAAAAATAAAAACGACAGAATATATATATATATATATATATATATATATATATATATATATATATATATTATATATATATATATATACAGTATATATAATAATGTGTGTGAATCACGAAGAAATTAACACGTGATGAACTATGTGACTGTGTCTGACCACGAAGGATTAAGATAGGAATTTCCTTAAGTAATTTCGCATTTAATAATACATATTCAGAAGGATGGAGTTACAGTTCAGTGGGTTTGGATATATACGGTGGAAAGTGTAAGGTGACGTGAGGTACAATATTTTTAATGGGATATTAATAAGGTATTAGTAAGATAAATGTGTATCAATGATCCGACTCAAATCGCCCCTTAACTGATCAATCAAGAATGTATCTAAATTAAACAATGATTTAAGTACATATGAACCGAAAATTAGTTGTTTTCTATATACACAAAACTTGAAATTACTTTCAAATTTAAATACAAAAACATCTAAAAAAATAGAATTGCTTTGTTCAACTGTCATTGTGGACTTAATAGAGGGAACTAGATTATTTAAGTATAATACATATATGGCCCAAAAATAAGAAGTGACATATTATAATTACATACTATAGCACCTGTTATTAAGTTCACAATGGAAATTGAACAAAATCATTTTACATGTATTATTATATGCTGTATAAACTTAAAATAACTTCAAGTTTCCCGTATATAGAAAAACAATAAATGTTGGTTTATATATAGATGCTTATTCATCGCATCATGACAGAGTAAAATAATTTGTGTTTTCCTCAATGATTTTGAGAGCTCTGAGAATATGTAGTCCTGAATATATGAATGAAGAGCTTAAGTGCTATATTTAGTGAGGGTTCATTGTTCCTTAAAACACCTAGTGTTTTATTTAAAAATCTTGTCAAACTACTCAAAAATCTTTCTTTAGTTTTAAAAAGAAAAAATACAAAATTAAGAACACTTATGTTACCTTTTCGTAAAAACTACAATGAAATTCCTAAATTAAAAAACTAATACAGGCATCTTTGTATCATTTAGGAATTTTGATATAAAATCTCTCATTAAAAATTCCCATTGTAAATGTAACGGTTGGGTTTACAAAATCCCATGCAACATTTGAATAAATTGAATTGTTGTACAAACATGCGAACACCTTGACCAGAGAATATAATATAAATACAGCATAAGTGCAGATCACAAGTCAAATACATTGTTTGTTCATCTAAGAAAGTTAAACGATTTATTGACAGGACAAACATATCAATTGTGACACTAGCTCTCCACATATGTCAGTTGCTTAATTTAGAAACTGTACCTGTGGTCGATCTCGAACCCATTGTTGATGTGACGACTTATACTGAATTTTGTAACTAGCTCATCAAGATTGTAACTTGCTTAGCTAAATGAATTGTGGGGTTCAGTCCCTGAGCCCATTATGTGCCTCTGTAACCCCTTTCCACTACCGCCCACAAGATGGGTATGGAGTGCATAATAAATGAACTTAACTAAACTTGACTGGATTAATTATAATAGTATTATTAAGAGTAAATCTGTCATTGAAAGAAATATACTTGAATCTTAAAGTGGTGAATTGTGAAATATAAATTCACGTCTAGGATTTTGTAAATTTGATAGCTTCATAACTGGAAAGATTTTGTATAAATATATTCATGCAAGTAAGAATATACGAACGAAGGACAACAGGTCAATTGACCCATGTTTCACAATGTTAACCAGAAGTTATATCTTAATAATTCCATCTGTTTGAGTCATAATCTTATCTTCTCATGTGTGGTGTGTATACATACCCATATCCTTGTTTTATGTGTCTAAAGTGTACTCCTTCACAATGTGTTAATAAGCATAAGCGCTCAATTTTTCACCTAAATGGGAATTTATATATATTTATGTATATTTATATATATGTAATTTATGTAATTTATATATAATTTATATATATTTATATATATATTGAATTTATATATAATATATAGTATGTGTGTGTGTGTGTAAATAATGAAGAAATTTACACGTGATGAACAATGTGACAATGTCAGTCCACGAAGGAAGGATTAAGACATGAAATTCCTTAATAAGTACTTTTGTATTTAATAATACATCTTCAGAAGGATCCTTCCGAAGATTGATTATTAAATACGAAAGTACTTAAGGAATTTCCTGTCTTAATCCTTCCTTCGTAAACTGACATTGTCATATATGTATATATATATATATATATATATATATATATATATATATATATATATATATATATATATATATATATATATATATATATAATATATATAATATATATATGTATAATATAACTAAGAACTCTAAATGAGCCAACCAGGATTCGAACACATGACGTCCAGGATCACCCCCAAACGTCCACAGTACCGTGACCACTGCATCATTGATGATCTAAGGATTGATTGCCTGATCTAATACTAACATCAGGCCAATTAATACATTCTTGCGTGTTCCTACGCAAGAGCCTTTCTATGTGAGCCTTTCTCACATTCGTAGACTCAGCGCGGCCCGTGCATGTGCCAGAATGCGATGAAAACTTCAATTAATAAGCACCAGGGCTGACCAATCCCTATAGACAGTCAATGGTGTGGTGGTCACGGTACTGTGGAGGTCTGGGGGTGATCTGTCATGGGTTCGAACCCTTGTCGGATCATTTAGTGATCATTTATATATATAGTTTTATTCATGGAAGTAATTGTGTAGGAGTGGTAAAGAAATCGCGGCAAGGATGACAGGAGTGCAGTGTTCCATCATAATTAGAGTGACGGACGGGCGGTGATCATTACCTAGACTATCCGTGGGATCTGGACAGTACAAGCAAGATACCAGTATGATAAGCCCAGAACTCCTTGATCGCTTCACACATGGCCCTTTATCGATGGTTTCACCACCCGAAGGCTTCTCTTACCACCCGTACTGCCGACAATGGCGACGAAGGGGACACGGTATAACGGACAGGGGCTAGGGGGAAGGGGGGGCAAGTAGGGGTAAATGACGGCTGTAGGGAGACTCAGGTAGGTGATTGAATGGGGCTATTGGGGGGGGGGGGAGTCGGATGTCACTGTATCTCCTGAGGACATTGTCGGCCATCTTGAGTGCGGTCCCCTCATGCTAGCACTAACCTACCTTAAGCCCGAGGCTCTAAATGCGTTTCTTGGGTGGGACAGGCAAGTACCGACCAGCGATCCTTTGCGTTCTTGCGTCAGAGTCCCGCGGTCTACCGTGGGATCGATCTCCAAGAAACGAAAGGTTTCGAGCGAGCGACGTAAAAGCATTTGAACGAACTCTTCTCGAGGGGGAGTGGGTGGAGCCCTTCCTTGTCCTACACCATCCACAAACGTAACCACAGCGTCCACAAACGTCGACCAAAGCCCCTTCTTATTCCTGCGTTGTTGACATCCGCCAAGTCCATCTGCCAATGGTGTCGGTGGATGGGAGGGTGTGTGTGTGCGCGCTGAGTGGCGTCCCTCAGCACCCATGATGCTGGATGAGTGGCCCGGGCCCTCAATGGCTGAACCCGGCGCCCGGAGGACACACCACAAGGCGCCGCGACACCCCGCGCCAGTACCTGAAAACTTCCCACCTATTTGAATCCAAGATTCCTACGTTGTCTATTGCTCCCATGGGGTTTTTGCGATTGTCTCGAGAGTGGTGTATCCAAGGAGAAGGTTTAATAGATGGGGTTAGGGGTTGTAAAGGCGTGTGATGTAATTAAATAGAAGGGGGTTTTCCGGAGCGGCCCTAGCGGCGGGGGTGGGAGGTGTCGGCGCGGATGGAGGCAGCGGCCGCGTCATAAGCCCCGCCCCGCTGCTCCTCCAGCTGTCCGGCCCTCGCGCCTACACCACACTTCCACCTCTATTTTCCCGCGATTTTTTTCCCCTCGCGTTTAGAGACAACTTCTCACATGTCTTGCAGGGATTTTTAGCGCTCCTCGACTATTCATTTGAAGGAATAGGGAAGTTGATGGAAATGTGAATGAGGGGATGGTAAAGAGAATAGATTTCTAGTAGATGGTGATAACCAGGCGGGGCCCCGGCCCTCGCTCGCACCATGAGGCGGGACTTCTGACGCCCGCGGATTAATTCACTTCGCTGCCTCGAAATCTCCGTCGCTCTGTGTCATCCACTACTGCCAATAGCAAGTTGATCCCGCGTCGCCGGGATAACCTGCTCCCCGAGCATCGGTATACCTAGAGAAATGACGCTTTCCCCGTGCCAATACCGAGTAATATCAACCGGGGGATTTTTTGCGGTCATGTGCGTGTGAAGTTGATCACAATCGGCAAGCCCGAAGGTGTGACGTGGGACGCGGATGCCCCGCCTCCCGCGCTCTGTGATTGGCCGAGCGGGTGTTGACGGACCAATCAGTATTGTTGGCGGGTGTCGACCGCTGGTGTGGCGGTCATGACTTGGTGGTCGCCAGTGTAGGTGCGAACGCGCGATAGGAAGGCTGAGGGCCTGTACGTTCCAAGTGTCAGACACCACGCCTCTGCCTCCTACACCTCCTACCAGCCTATTCCCCCGTCTAGGCTTACTCTTTCTTACACCCTATAAGTGCAATCAGGAGGTTGTGAAGAGGCTTTGCATAGTGAAACGAGAGGAAAAGTTAAAAGCACTGGTGATAGCTTAATTAATTGTGGCAGGAATTATTGTTTTATCGTGAAAATTTTGTTGGTCGACTTGGGAGTACTGTGGTGGTGGACGGATATGTTGGTGGAGTGTGGTGGTGCGTGATGCTGGGGCGGTGATGGTGTAGTGTGTGTTCCAGGCCCCCCCTAAGCACCTGCCTCATGCGCTTCGACAACTTGCAGGAGCTCGGCCACCTTGTCAACTCCCCGCTCAACTCCCCCCCTCCTCCTCTCACCCCTTTGGGCGTGGGCGGCAGCATGGCATACCACCCGTTCCTTCTCCAGAGACCCACAGACTTCAGCGTCAACTCCCTCCTTACCCAGTCGCCGTCGTATCTCCCGACGCTTGGGCTGCCGGCGGCGGCGGCGGCAGCAGCGGCAGCGGGCTCGCCCAATCCCTACAGTCTTCTGCCCAAGTTTCCTGGGCATCTGGGGCACCCCTTCACTACTGCCGAGGATGTGCTCTCACAGTCACACATGCGCCCGCTGCGCTCGCTCCTGCCCGAGGAGGACGGTGTGGTGGACGACCCCAAGGTGACCCTCGAGTGTAAAGACCTATGGGAAAAGTTCCACAAGCTGGGCACGGAGATGGTCATCACAAAGTCTGGCAGGTAAGACCCAGAGGCACCAATAGTGCCGCCTACATCTAGCCAGGTAGGCCTACTCATGCCACTCATTTCTGGCTAAGTAATGTTAATAAATTGGTATAGTCCACGGGAAACTCCCTTTAAAAGTTTGTCAAGAAGATATAAACAAAAAATAAGTGAAGATTTAACATAATTCATTGCCAAATTTAAATTTTATTTATCCTTAAATAATAAGGAGCATATATATATATATATATATATATATATATATATATATATATATATATATATATATATATATATATATATATATATATATATATATAATATGTGTGTGTGTGTGTGTCAATTGGTTAAATACTTATACATAACGATAAATTACGAAAGAGGCGTTAATCCGGTTCAGATTTCGATATAGGAAAGAATCGTACTGGAAGAGATAAACCTAAGGAGATAAGCCGTTGGTCACACATCCTTAAAGGAGACATTCTCCAGGTGTGAACCAGATTGAATCTTAACGCAGCATTTTCAAATAGAATATGTATTTTTTTGTTATACACTGGTCTTTAAAGTTGTATATTTTCTTCTAACTCGACATCAGTAAAAGAAGATTAGAGAGAGAATGAGTGTGTTTCTCCATTAATATTATAGACGAATTCATCATATGGCTGCAGGAAAATTTCCTATTGACCAGTTTCAATTGATTCATAACATTAATGAAGGAATTTAAAGCTGTCAGAGTGAAAGTTATCTGCATTTAATATTTATCAACAGTCCACCATAACTACCGCAGACCTAAATTTATTTACTCACATATTTCATATATATATATATATATATATATATATATATATATATATAATGTATGTATATATATATATATATACACATATATAATCAGAGACATCTTTATCCCACCGATATTTCGTGAACGGTTATAGGTACCTTTCGCTAAGTATCGGCTTCAAGAACGCTTACATAACAATTAAGTAATTAAAGGTAGTTTGGACAAGCGAGGATATTACAGTTTTGTTAATGGACGAGTCCAGTCCATCTTTATTTATAGGAGTGCAGAGCGCATCGCAGGCCGCAGTCACGTGCAAACTACTTGATTTTCGTTATATTCAAGAAATATAAAATCAAATCACTATAGGTTTTAGAACTTTTTGTTGGCTGGACAGTTATAGGTACATTGCAAGAATGTAGTTATAGTTTAAGGGAGATAAATGTAAGAAGTGCGCATCTAATATTGCATACTAAACCGTTCAGCGAGTTGAGGTGTTCCCGTGTGGACGGGTGCGTTACCACGGCTGATCACCATCTCTGCAACGTTGGCTGTTTTAGTTGTCTTTTGCCCACGAGGAGTGCTTGGGGGCCGGGGAAGCTCTACTTATTCATAGGGTTGTACTGGGATACGTATACCTGTTGTGGAGGGCTGCGGCAACCTTTTCTGCTTTCTACGAAATAAATGTTAGGATTATAGATGTGCGGTAACGTTGAGGCTGACTAGAGCAGCTGTGAGGGTAGAGAAGCGGTATACCAATACCCGTCTATGAGCCCCACCCATACGCGTTGGCATAGATTCCTATCACCGCTTCTCTCGTGTACACAGAGCAATATTCTCCAATGCTTCATAATTTACGGCGGGATGGAAGGTTGTGAGGGTGTGTAGCAGTTATGTGACTGAGGCTGTGGTAATAACGAGGGCGGCGGTGGCGGGGCAGCGGCGGCCCACAACCACACTGAGGTCTGCCAGCGTACCGGTAGCTAAGTGGGCATTTTATTTGTTTTTTATGTATATACGAACATTCACGGGAGTTTCGTTTTCGTCGGGTATGCATGTACGCATATGGCCGGGAAGCAAGGCATTCCGACCTTGTGTGCTTTATAATTGCACACTGGCACATTATTTGTCCCTCGATTATTTGTACACGTGTGCGGTTATGTGTGCATAGTTTGGGTGGAACTGCCATGTTTCATCGCTAAGTTAGTCTTGAGTGGCTTTACTCGCTCGCTGCAAAAAAACAGCCGTGATGCCTTGATGGTTGTCTCCGAAACTTTGTGTCTTCTTTCAGCAGATTACCCCCCAGCGTCCGGAGTTTATGAGAAGTTTGCGATTGTCATCACCGACGTAGCCGAGATGGCAGTAGCTGTGGCTTACAGGAATACATCGCCCTGCTTTAAACATCATCATCAGCATACTGGGCGCGATAAATCAGCTAGAAGCCTAAGGCTTTTATTGTGCGGTAATGGGAATTTTCACTTCGATTCTTATCAGCGCCTCAGCAGTGATGTAGCCCATATTATTTGGATTTGTTTAATTTACTTACTGGTTTACGTAAACAAAATTAATTGTTAAGTACAGAAGGCCTACTAATATCATTGCGAAGATGTGTTAGTCGGCCATGAAAATGACCGCGCCAGGCTGGAGAGGCCGATATTCTCCGTTAAAAATAATGAGATACATCCTGTGTGACGTTATTATCTTGGTCGATATTAAGGGACCGGTTCACGGGGGTCGAACCCTGGCCGCCTCATACATAACCTTATCCAACAACAGGGAAATGCGCTGCAATTCCTATCCGAAATTAATTCATTCCGTCTATCATATGGAGAGGAAATACAACCATTTCCACCGTCCATTTTACCGAATGGGAACATAACTTTTGGGAATGTAGGAAGGTGTTGCCACACACAGTGGTATTGTGTGTGGCAACACACAGTACCACTGTGTGGTACTGTGTGTTGGTGGCACAGCACCATGATCATGACAGTGTGCGTCTAGTGACTTAATATTTTAAGAAATATGAAGCCATCCGAAGAGAATGTTTTCTATTAATTTAATAAATAATATTGGGACGAATTTTTTTATATATGTATATTTTTCATGTTAATGTACAGCAGAATTAAAGTAATAATGTACATTATTTATTCAAATAAAAACATCGTAATATACATTTAAAAATTAAGAGCACTTAAAAATATATATATATATATATATATATATATATATATATATATATATATATATATATATATATATATATATATATATATATATATATATAATATAAGGGGTAACACCTCTGGTGCAATTGTAGGGACCCATAGGCTCGAAGAAGAAAATATAGAGTATTCAGAGAAGACCTTTTAGATTCTCACTGAACACTATAATATTTTCTTCTCCTACCACCCCTATTCTTTTTCTTTTCTTTTTTCTTTTTCTTTTTTATTTTATTACTTTATATATATATATATATATATATATATATATATATATATATATATATATATATATTGCACCCGACCTCCGAAGAGCTTGACGAGGTCTTCGAACATTGATTGTTATATTGTAATGCAATAAATGCAGTAATGCAATAGTAATGCAATAAAATAAAACAAATTTAATAAAAAAAGAATAAGGGTGTTAGGAGAAGAAAAGATTAAAATGTTCAGTGAGGACACACAAGGTCTTCTCTGAATACTCTATATTTTCTTCTTCGAGACTGTGGGTCCCAACAATTGCAACAGAGATGGTACCCTTATTATATATATATATATATATATATATATATATATATATATATATATATATATATATATATATATATATATAAACTTTAAAATTTCATTAAACAAAAAGGGTTTGTGAAAAAAAATTCATTACACAATATGGCTAGGCTAGGCTGGCAACCTCACCATTCACTATGGCTAGGCTAAGCTGGCAACCTCACCATTTACTATGGCTAGGCTAAGCTGGCAACCTCACTATTCACTATGGCTAGGCTAAGCTGGCAACCTCACCATTCACTATGACTAGGCTAAGCTGACAACCTCACCATTCACTATGACTAGGCTAGGCTGGCAACCTCACCATTCACTATGGCTAGGCTAGGCCATATTAAATATATTATTAAATATTAAATATATTATTAAATATTAAATATATTATATTTTATAATATAAACATTGGTTACATTTGTTACATGCCGGGTACAAGGCTACTCGTCACAGGTTGTAGAGTTCCTCCAGCTCCTCAGATGGCGGGCAGGACCATGGATGCAGTGAGCATTTCCTCTCTGGATCGCCACACACACACACACACACACACATATATATATATATATATATATATATATATATATATATATATATATATATATATATATATATATATATATATATATATATATATATATATATATAAAATCTGGCACTCACATTTTTCATCACGTGTTATTTTTCGTGATTTACACACACATGTATATATAATACCTAATGGCCAAAACGCACTACTTGGCCTAGTATGCAAGTCTTGATTTAGCTAATAGGCAGAGTGATATTTGTTATTTAAAAACAAAAATTCGATTTTTCTACTATTTTAGTATTATTATGTAATTCTAGGAACATTAATTACTGACTTAGTTATGATTCTTTAGGTTAGGTTATGATATGATAGGTATGGTTAGGTAGATAAGGTAGGATAGGTTAGGTTAGGTTTAGTCATATTTCTACATTGGTTTTAACTCAAATTATAAAACATTAAATCTGAGTTAATATAATGGAAATGTTTATTATTTCATAATATTTTTTTTAAATATATAACTAAAGGAAAACTTGACTTATTAGGCAAACCGGATAAAATATATATATATATATATATATATATATATATATATATATATATATATATATATATATATATATATGTATGAACTGAAAACTCACACCCCAGAAGTGACTCGAACCCATACTACCAGGAGCAACGCAACTGGTATGTACAGGACGCCATATGTATGTTCATGCTTGTTCGCATATATATATATATATATATATATATATATATATATATATATATATATATATATGTATATATATATATATATATATATATATATATATATATATATATATATATATATATATATATACATATACACACACACACAAAATGACAAACGCTGCGGAACGCGCAAGCCATAGATCACTAAGTACTCTAAATGACCCGACGACGATTCGAATCCATGACGTCCAGAATCACCCCCAAACGCACATATATAGGGGTACCACTTCTGTT